TTATTTTGACAAAAAAGATCAAGAACAGATTCAAAAAATAAAACTATTATGTAAGAATTTACCCAAATTATATTTTCCAGATGAAAATAAAATATTTACATATATAGTAGAATCAGATGCAAGTGAAATAAGTTATGGAGGAGTATTAAAATACAAATATGATAAAGAAAAAATAGAGCATCATTGTAGATATTACTCGGGAACATTTACAAATCCCGAAACAAAATGGGAAATAAATAGAAAATAATTATATGCCCTGTATAAATGTTTATTAGCTTTTGAACCATACATCGTCTATAACAAGTTCATTGTAAGGACAGATAATACGCAGGTAAAATGGTGGATCACATGGAAGATACAAGACTCAATAACAACAAAAGAAATACGACGACTAGTATTAAACATACAGAATTTTACATTTACAATAGAAGTCATATGTACAAACAAAAATGTCATTGCAGATTACATTTCAAGACAAAGCTACACAGACGGATCTAGACAAAGAAAATGCTATTGAAAAGATACTCAATACTATGACATTGCTTGGTACAAATATGACATTACTTGTACAAAAGTAGATAGTCTGGATAAAGAGCTACAACAAATGAAAAGTCAGCAGCATGACAATAAATATGCGGAGCTAAGTCAATCGGAAGACTTGAAAATTCCAGAGCTAGAAGGTGACGATGGGAAACACCGAAAAACCCAAACTAATAATTTGTTACATGCAGCTACAGGAAGCACTTCTGCAACAAAGGAAGAAAACAAAACTAGATATGTCAATACAAACATGAACAAAATATTTGAAAAAACATTTATACCAAAAACCCAACAAAACCCAGTATTCATACCACCTCAGTTAAATACTTATAAAGAAAGTCTAGGACAAAATGAAAAGACATACAACCATATAACCTGAGCCTATATAGAAAATATTCACAAAATACAAACTTTCTTAAACCAAAATCCCAGATCCAAAAATACAAAAAACCCCAATGAAGACTATATTACCCAAAACCTACAAGGATATAACAAATTGATTGCACAACCAGGAACTAGTACAAATCTAGTAGGAACTTGCTATCACTATGGATTACTAAGTACCGTATATACCGTAACAGGAGACGAGATATCAACAATTCCAGAGCTACACAAAGCATTTATGCATTACAAGAGAATAACTAAAGGAACATTATTTTATATAAAATTTTATTCAGCACCAGCCGAAATATTATATGATGAAATCAAACCTATTATACAAGTGATAAAAATCGGATTGACAAGAGAGATGATAATACCAGAAAAAATAGAAAAGCAAGAAGAGATACAAAAGATAGAGATACCCGAATTTTATGCAAGAAAAAGAGTTATTGGAATAGCTACAATATTAAATGAGTTATCAAGGTTAAATACGAGACTAGATTTGGAATTAAGACTTGGCCAAATGAATTACAAAATTAGCCAACTTATTAACCAAATTGAGTTTAACTTATGAATTTGGCTTAAATTTAAATAAGACGAACTATTATAATCAACTAACGAGATTCTTAATTTCAACGAAATAAAATAATAAACTCAATTATAAAGTAATTAATTTAAAATAGAAACTAATTGTAGTCTTAAATTGAAATTAAACTAAATTAAAGAACATTCGACTTAAAATACGAAATCATTTGAGATGATTTTGAAATATTGATAAAATATACTAATTACATATATAATTTATGAAATATATTTATTATCCCGAATATTATGAGAATTGACTAAACTTACTTAAAATAACCACAAAACTATTTAATGTTTATAAAGTTAAATATTCTAGATTGTTTGAAAAATTAAGAAATTCGGAAATTGATTATCATCGGGGAGGGTCGAAAATGGGTGTTACCAACTGTCCCTCATTTTACTTGGATTGATGAAAGATATTTGAGGAAAATGCAATGGACGAATCCAATTTTGACCGACCACATCTTCATCTTCATCTTTTGGAAAAAGGATTTGGTATGGACTTAGGAGTTCTGACTGAACTCTGAAAATGGGTTTCCTACATATCTCAGGCTTTAGTTGAATTTAGGCCACTTGTATTTCGATACGCTTGACTTCCCACCCAATTTTGAAAGAATTCAAAAGTCATCCTGATACCGAAATATGGAAGGACCGAAATTCTCGAGAATAAGATTTAAGAGATAATGTCGGAATACAGCCGAGTTTTCAACATTGATTCCGCCTACATATCCTTCAACCTAGAGAATCAGGCTGCTTGTAGTTCAACTCGATCGGTTGAAAAAGAAATCAAATATGCTAGATCACCTTTGGTTCTGGAAGAGCGACAAAATAAGTCGAGTATGAAAAGAAGGCTTGCAACCTCTTAGCCACGAATATGGCACACTTCACACCCATAATTAAGAACTTACACGGACATAATTTCTAAAGCTCTTGGTGCATTGTCACTCAAATTGGAAAGTTGCTTCCCGTAGAGACAAAAAATTTCTAGATGCGAAACTGAAACCGACGAACCCAAAGATAAACCCACATGCCTTTTGATAGGGGTGTGGCTTACTTGTGGTGGAAGTCGCTCCTCTTCTCGCATCCTAAGAGTTTCGCACTCCTCTTTGGACTATGTCCCAGTTCGCTGCTAAGAAAAAGTTCCACATTGTGCTGCATCCGTTTTGATGTCATCCGCACCTGTGGTTTGTTTTGAGAATCCATCCCCTTGGATGATCTCGACAAAGACTGAGATAAAACTCATTAGCATAAAAATGCAATTCAAATGGTGAGATAGTGTATTTTACCGTGTCGATACTTAATTTCTCTTCTTGAACATTGACGTCAACTTCATTGGGTTTGACGTAAAGCAATAAAGCTTGTATATTATATTTGCAATATAATCTTCAATGCTTTCTTCTTTTGATGTCAAAGCAATAAAGTAGGCTGATGAAATATGTTGATAGTTCTCTTGATGTCGTTTTTGCAAAGAAAATGATGCAGTCGATGTTGATCTTCCTGTGATGGGTAAACCTTTCTCTTGCGATGCATAACTCCTTTCTCCTGCGATGCATGACTTTTATCTCTTGTAATGCATGACCCTTTCCTCTTGCAATGCATGACTTTTCCTCTTGCGATGCATGACTTCTTTCTCTTGCAATCCATGACTTCCTTCTCTTGCTATGCATGACTTCTCCATGATGCATGACTTCTTTCTTTTGCTATGCATGACTTCTTTCTTATGCAGTGCATGATTTCTTTCTCCTGCTATGCATGACTTCTCCGCGATGCATGACTTCTTTCTCTTGCTATGCATGACTTCTTTCTCTTACAGTGCATGATTTCTTTCTCTTGCTATGCATGACTTCTTTCTCTTGCAGTGCATGATTTCTTTCTCGCGATATATTAATCCTTCTCTTGCAATGCATGAATCATTTCCCGCGATGCATGAATATTTTCCTTGCAATGCATGAATCTTTCTCTTGCAATGCATGAATCATTTAATGATGCCTCCATGATACCGAACAAAGATAATGTTTCACCGAGCAACAAGGTGATCTTCTGAGTATCTTCTAGGTGGCGATATCGTCTCAATTGACAATACAATTAAAATGATCCTCGGAGTAGTAGTATCATCTCTTTTGACAATACGATATAAATGACTCTCCGGGTAGTAATATTATCATGTCTGATAATATGATGCATATAATGTCCTCCAAGTTTCTTTAGTTGATGGAAAACAGTAAAGTGTCTTTCCTCGGGGTTTTCATTTGTCCCATCTTTGAACATAATCGTATGTTCATTAGGGACTTCGCCTCGTTGGGGAATTTGAATGAAATGATGTTATTCATATTCCCAAATCTTTGATATAAGAAGCATAAAATATTTCCTGCATCCAAAGAAAAATTGTTAATTTTGGGGAGCTCCTCGTCATTTTGACTTTTCCACGTTCATTAAATGGAAGAATATGATGTTCTTGAGGCAAACTTATAGACCTACATCCATAGAATTTTTTTTAGTTTAAAGTGAACTGACCTGTGTCGATCTCTTCGGTTGTCTGCTCATTGCCTTGCTATCTCCGGTTGATTTCTCTGATCCCCTGCCTTTTGATAGATAAGACAAATATTTTTATGCAAAATTAATTGAAACACGAAAGAAAAGTTTTAAGAAAAAATTAATTTTCCAAAAATAATATTTGGAAAAGGTCACTGCCAAGTGTCATGTCACGTCAAGCTTAATGAACATCTTTGAAATCAAATATTTCGAGGTCTATCTGATTACTTGTTGGGGAGTATTCAAAGTTACTCTAGACTGCCGATAAACCCTGTTGAAATTTTGAGGCCATCCTCAAAATTTATGTCCCAGTTAAATGTCTTGGTTAATCTTCAACCATTGGTGAGCAAATCACAAAATTTTTGACATCCTCTCAAAAATTCTATCCCAGTTGCAAATCTCAAAGTAACTTCAGTTTTGGTTTGTTGAAAAGATCTTCTTCTTGAGAATTTTTGAGTCCCTCTCAAAAATTCTGTCCCAGTTTCTATTGTAAGAAAAATAGAAATCTTACGGGAGATATGACCGAGCCGTTGTGGCTCCTACATATCCCGTTGACGCAGAAATCAGGTCAAACTTAGTTCCCCATTTCGAGGATTATAAAAAATAAGAAATTTACAAAGAAACCGACCGAGGCCGACATAGGCCGCCTACGAATATCATTCTTGAGAATTCAGGTCGAACGTAGTTCAAGTACAAAGAAAGATTAAATGGGATAAAGGAGTGACCGAGGCCGACATAGGACGGCTACGTATCTCATTCTTGAAAATTCAGGTCAGACGTAGTTCATTACAAAAGGGATAAAAAATTTAAGCGAAGCGATTATAAGCAAATAGAACGATTACAAGGAAATGATAGAAATACAAATTGAAGCTTCACACATAATATCTCTTGACAGCATCTGAGTTGATCGGTTTCGTCCATTCGATGCCATCCATCTCCGACAGGACCAAGGCACCTCTAGATTACACTTTGTGAACCATGTAGGGCCCTTGCCAATTTGGTGCAAATTTCCCTTTGTACTCATCCTGATGAGGGAAAATATGTTTGAGAACCAACTGACCAATCTCAAACATTCTAGCTCTTACTTTATTGTGGAGAGCACGAATCATTCTATGTCGATACAGTTGTCCATGACAAACAACAACCATTCTCTTCTCATCAATCATTGTTAACTGATCAATCCACTTGCGAACCCATTCAACATCACTCAATTCAGCTTCTTGGATGATTCTCAACGAAGGTATTTCAACTTTTGCAGGTATAACTGCTTCTGTTCCATATACTAACAAATATGGAGTGGCTCCAACTGATGTTCTGACAGTCGTTCGATAACCTAACAAAGTATACGGCATATCATTCTCTGTCGATATAGTTGTCCATGACAAACAGCAACCATTCTCTTCTCATCAATCAATGTTAACTGATTAATCCGCTTGCGAACCCATTCAGTATCACTCAATTCAGCTTCTTGGATGATTCTCAATGAGGGTATTTCAATTTCTGCAGGTATAACTGCTTCTGTTCCGTATACTAGCAAATATGGAGTAGCTCCAACTGATGTTCTGACAGTCGTTCGATAACCCAACAAAGCATATGGCAACATCTCATGCCAACCTCGATAATTATCAATCATTTTCCTCAAAATCTTCTTTATTTTCTAGTTGGAGGCTTCTACAGCTCCATTCATTTGGGGACGATAGGCGGTTGAGTTCCAGTGAGTAATCTTGAATTATTCACATATTTCTCTCATCAAGTGATTGTTGAGGTTCGCTCCATTATCAGTAATGATGGATTCTGGCACTCCAAACCTACATATCAAATTGTTGTGAATAAAATCATCTACAACTTTCTTGGTCACCGACTTATACGAAGCTGCTTCCACCCACTTGGTGAAGTAGTCAATGGCAACCAAAATGAATCTGTGTCCGTTGGAGGCGGCCGGTTCTATTGGACCAATGACATCCATTCCCCAAGCTATGAAAGGCCAAGGTGAACTCAAAACATTAAGTTCGTGAGGCGGCACTCGAATCAAATCACCATGCACTTGACATTTATGACATTTCTGCACAAACTTGCAACAATCATGCTCCATAATCATCCAAAATAACCAGCTTGGAAGATCTTCCTCGCCAAAGTGAGCCCATTCATGTGATTACCACAAACTCCAACATGTATCTGTTCCAGAACTTTCCAGCTTCACTAGTATCAACACATCTGAGAAGACCTAAATCTGGAGTCCTCCTATAAAGGATTTCCCACTTGCAAAGAAATTGAGGGCCATACGGCGTATCAACTTCTTCTGGTTGAACGTTGCATTCTCAGGATAAGTCCGGGTCTCTAAATACTTCTTGATATCAAAATACCAAGGCAAACCATCTGGTACTGCTTCAACATGTGAACAATGGACAGGCTGCTCAACCTCTATATCTAAGGAATCAATATAACTTGTATCTGGATGTTTAATCATCAAGGTAATGGTGGTAAGAGCATCGGCCAACACATTTTGTGTCCTGGGAGTATGTCTGAACTCAATCTTGCGAAATCTCTTGCACAACTTTTGTATATACTGCACGTACAGTGTGATCTTTGGGTTCTTCACGGCCTATTCTCCTTGAACTTGATGAATCAGCAAGTTTGAGTCTCCAATAACTAGAAGCTCATGAACGTTCATGTCAATGGCCATCCTCAGACCTAGAATGCAAGCTTCATACTCAACCATGTTGTTTGTGCAATCAAATCGGAGTTTAGCGGCCATAGGATAATGCTGACCAGATTCCGACACTAGGACCGCTCCGATGCCTTTCCCTTGGTGATTTGCCGCTCCATCAAAGAATACTCTGCAACCATGATAGTCTTTAGAAATATCTTCATTCACAAATGAAACTTTCTCGTTGGGAAAATAAGTCTTAAGCGATTCATACTCCTCATCAACTGGATTCTATGCAAGATGATCAGCCAAGGCTTGTGCTTTTATCGCCTTTTGAGTCACATACACAATGTCAAACTCTCTCAAAAGCATTTTCCGTTTAGCCAACTTCCCGTTCAGCATTGCTTTCTGGAAAATATACTTTAACGGGTCCATCCTGGAAATAAGGTATGTGGTCTAAGAAGACAAATAATGTCTCAACATTTGAGCGATCCAAGTCAAAGCACAACATGTTCTCTCCAAAAGAGTGTAACGAGCCTCATATGGAGTGAACTTTTTGCTCAAGTAATAAATGGCTCACTCCTTCTTCTCAGTCTCATTATGTTGACCAAGCACACATCCCAATGCATTATCCGAGACCAACAAATATAGCAATAATGGACTCCCCTCTCGCGGAGGGACCAACACCGATGGATTGGACAAACAGGTCTTGATGGCATCAAAAGAAGTTTGACATTCTCTGGTCCACTTGGTCAAGGCATCTTTTTTCAACAACTTAAAGATGGGGTCACACACCACGGTAGATTGAGCTATGAATCGGCTGATGTAGTTCAACCTTCCCAGGAAACTCATCACTTCTTTCTTGGTCTTCGGAGGAGGTAATTCTTGAATTGCTTTGATCTTGGAAGGGTCAAGCTCAATGCCCCTTCTACTGACTATAAACCCCAATAACTTGCCAGCTGACACTCTAAAAGCACATTTAGCAGGATTTAGCTTCAGATTGTACCGACGTAGACGATCAAAGAATTTCCTCAAGTGATCCGAATTCTCGCGGGACTTGATTATGACATCATCTACATACACCTTGATCTTCTTGTGAATCATATCATGAAAGATTGTCGTCATAGCCCTCAAGTAAGTAGCACCGACATTTTTTAAACCAAAAGGCATCACCCGATAATGATATATACCCCAGGGTGTAATGAAAGCTGTCTTTTCTGCATCTTCTTCATCCATCAGGATCTGGTAATAACCCGCGTAACAATCAACAAATGACTGCATCTCATGCTTAGCGCAGTTATCAATGATAATGTGAATATTTGGCAATGGAAAGTTGTCTTTTGGGCTTGCTTTGTTGAGATCTCTGTAGTCAACACAAATTCTTATCTTTCCGTCTTTCTTGGCAATCGGAACAACATTGGCTAACCAAGTCAGATATTGCGTCAGTTCCACTACTTGAGACTCCATCTGTTTGATAATCTCCTCTTTGATCTTTAAACTCAACTCAGGCTTGATTTTTCGAGTCTTTTGTTTTACCGGACTGAAATCTGGATTGATCGACAACTTATGGGACACCATATTCGTACTCAGCCCCGACATATCTCTGCAGGGCCAGGAAAATAAATCAATGTATTCTCTAAGAAAACGAACTAGGTCCCTTCTTTGAGCTTCAGTCAGATGGACGTTGATTCTTACTTCTTTAATAGAATCCTCATCCCCTAGATTCATAGTCTCTGTTTCTTCCAAATTCGGCTTGTGTTGATTCTCAAATTGTCGAAACTCTTCAGCAACGTGTTCGGGTACCTCATTTTCTTCTTCACATTCCTCGCACTCATCATCACCTGCCTCGTTTTGTTCACTCGGTTCATAACATGACATGACATTGGCAGGGTTTAAATTAAGATTACTGAAATTATAAACAAACAAAGTTAGGAAAGTAAAATATAAATAGATAAGTAAACTGTTTTTTGATAAAAACATGCTTTCATTTAAATTGAAAAACCAGAACAAACTTTGGCAATGGCTAAGGGCCATTTTTTCCTTTTAAACATCACAAAGGAATTTAAAAACTTCAAATGAGTAAAAACTGCATAAATGGCGGGTCTCGGGCCTCTTCCGGACTACCATCAATTTTAAAAAGACACATGTCTATTTTACAAAGCTGCACGGGAAATCAGGAGCGGTGTGGAGGTCCAATTCTACTACTGCTCCTCTGGCTCGACATCATGGATTCCTGAGGTCTCAGCTTCATCCTCCATTACTGCATCAACCTCTTCGAATATGCCCCAGATTCCTTCCCCGAGACCGCTATCGATTCCGTGCTCCCGCATCGGTAATGACTGGTATAGATGAGTAATTGGCCTGGCCGATTCTTGATCAACACTCTTGTTCTTCACTGGGACATACCCCAAACCAAACTTTGCGCCTTTGGCGAGAATTTGGATAGGCTCGACAATTCCTTGAAAGTGCTTCCCTAATTCGAGACCTGGTTCGAAACTGCTCCGGAGTATAACAGTAGCAATCATCTTGTACAAAGAAGGCATATGAGGATGCAGAGCCAACTCATCACTGGTGGCATTCACCAGCTCCACCGTGTAGAAATCACAACCTTGAGAGACATCATCAACGATCGGTTCATACCCGTTGGAATGGCTTCCTTCACCAAAAATGACCAATTCCTGGTCCTTTCCAAACAAATTTAATAAGTTGGTGAAGGGTAGAAGGCACTGCCCCAGTCATATGGATGAACGGTCTTCCCAGAAGCAAATTGCAACTGGTGTTGATATCCAACACCTAGAACTCCACGTTAAATTATGTAGGACCCACCTGAATATCCAAGTTTATCGCACCCAATGTGTCTCTTTGCACTCCATCAAAAGCCCTTCATTGACTTGGTTCTGGTGAAGCTTTGCTGGGTCAATTTTCAGCTGCTTCAGAGTCGAAAGTGGGCAAATATTGAGATCGGATGCGTCATCGACCAAGACATGATTTATTATCTTGTCTCGACACATGGTGGTCACGTGCAGAGCTTTGTTGTGTGTCATGCCTTCAAAGGGCAGCTCTTCGTCACAAAAACTGATTCGGTGTCCTCGAATGACCTGGTTTATCATGGCTGCTAGATTGTCACTGTTAGTACCCATAGGCACATAAGTATCATCCAAATCCCTCATCAGAGCTTGCTTATGGAACTGCGAACTAATCAATAAGGGCTACACAGAGATTTGAGTCGGCGTCTTCTCCAAATGCTTCACAATTGAATAATTTTTTGACCGCATTTTTATCCAGAACTCCTTGGCCTCGGTTTCACTGATCAGCCTTTTTGTTTGGTCGTTCTTCTGCACACCCTGGATCAGCTGTTCTGGCGTGTAGCACCTGCCAGATCTGGTCATACCCTCGGTAACAGTTGTTTCAATCACAAACTTTGGTCGGTCAAGAGTTTCTCGTGGCACCAAGGCAACAGCCTTCTCGAGTCTCAAAATCACAAACTTTTTCGTCTCTCTAATGCTCAACGAGGCTACAGCCCTTTCCAGCTCATCAGGAGCGATCAGAACTATTGCCTTTGTCACACACCAATCATCATCTGTCTCTATGATATTCATAGTGATGCCTCCATGATTTGGAAAATGATTACTATTAACATTGGGTGCGACTGTCTAAAGAGAGACCACGTTCTGGTCAATCAGGTCTTGGATCTTATGCTTCATGTTGATACAGTCCTCGGTATCATGTCCAACACTATTGGAGTGATACGCACACCTCTGATCAGGTCTGTAAAACTTTGAGCTAGTGTCAACCGGCTTGGGCCCCACTGGATGAATATATCATGCCGCAGTTAATCGCTCGAACAACTTTGTTCAACTTTCAATAAGCAGAGTGAAAATTCTAGCAGGCTTCTTCTCAAATCTAGGACAGGGGGGGTATCGTAATTGCCTTGTTGAGGAGGAGGCATTTGACGATAATTTGGAGCGTTTGGACGAAAGGCTTGA